CTGCAGTCTCATGATGCTGTTTCGGCTTCAGCGAAGAAGAGATTAAGTTATATTTGCCCCCTAGTAAATAGGGCAGATGCTCATTATTGTATAAATATTCTTGCTTTCTACAGCTTTCCATCTCATGCAGCTATTTTCATTGTACAGATCAGTTATCGTCTGATCGCTGCGCTGGTGGCTGTGCTGAAATCTTTGCGGTGTTGGCGACACTGATGATCTAGACCTAATTCATGAGTTGTGAAGTACTATTGGGGGGATTGGAGGCTGACGAAAATTCTCGTATCTCTGGGCTTTCTAGTGTTAAAGTAGCTTTTTAATGTTGGTGAAAATTTATTTTTATAAATATTTTATAGATAACAATAAAATAGTTTTTCATCTAAAGTAAAGAAGTGACTGAACACCAATATTATTTCTTTCCATGAATCCTCCTGTTAGCTCTCTGCAGATGTCGGACCATGTTAATCATGAAGCAAACAGCTTCATCTCATGAAGCAAACTACTAACCTTCCTTTGGACTTTGTTCTGTCTGATTAACTTGCTTTCATTGTTCTCACACAAGCTGCTGTTCTGGAATATTTTCATGAACTAATCAGTTATTGGCTTAATATCTGTGTCTCCACCTTCCTGTCAGTCATTGAAACAGAGCAGCTGCAGAATCTGATCACAGACTAGGATTAGATCCCTTAGTAGTAGGATCAGTAAAAAGGATCAGTCAAAAGGTGTTTACATAGAACATTGTTGATCTAACAAAGAAAACAACTGTTCAAATATGGAGTATCTACCAAAACATTTCACAATCTCGCCTGTGAAAATAATGTTTCAGATGAAATCCAAATGTTCACACCTGAAGCTCTCATGAACAATCTGCTTCATGTTCCTCTGGAAGTTCATGTTTCAAAGTTCTCAGCAAAAAGAACAATTGAACCTATGGAGGTCTGAGAGATGAGCCATGTTTGTATAAAGTTACCAATGTCTAGCTAGGTCAGAGTTTCCTCTATGACAGGTGTCCTCATTTGTAGCATTTGAAGCAAGACACAGGAAGGACCTTCATCTCTGTCTGTTTGTTGTTCTACAGAATGTGAGTTCATGCTTCCTGGTTCCTCCACAGGGTGGACCAGCAGAACACAAATGCTCCCAGTGCTCCATCTGCCCAGCAGCATCAACCCCACCTGGACTCCATATTTACAGTCTGTACTTGTACTACAACTACTTCTCCATGGGTTCTGTTTACAGTCATCTCTGTTTTTTTGGAAAGCTTTGTGTTTACACCTTCAAGCTTTCTCTCTCTTCTCTTTTCCTGAGAAATGATCACTTGAAACAAACTCTTAAAAAAAAAAAAACTAATCATAGTGTATATTTATTTAGTTACCATGAGACATGACAACAGATTTTGACAGAGATTGTAATCTTACTTAGACCAGATAAGAAGGCAGTGCTTACCAACCGGGCTCACATCTCATGAAGTGGCCCAGAATCACAGTTAATTAACATCCGCCGCTGGTGCTCTGTTTAGTATATTTACATTAAACAAAGCAGCCTGCTTGAAAATAAAACCACCAACAAAATCAACCACCAAGTTGATTTTATGGCGACCATGAGCACCAAAGCACAATTAATAAAGATATAGCAGTATGTTAAAGGGGAACATACTGCTATACCGCGCCGGACTGGAGTTGTGACAGGCAGCCCAGGCCACAGGCGGCTACGCTCTACCCCTTCTATCCATTCGACTAGATCTGAATCTGAATTGTTCAATTCCATTTGGAGAGTAAGATCATCTGAGGTAGTAGCACTAGACATCTTCCAGGCATGTGAGTAAAACTAGCAGCGGTTCAGCGGAAAGGAAGAATGAATGGTAGCACGTGCGCGTGTATGACCTCATACACACTCCGCTTTGTTTTAAAAAAACATAAATATAACCCTGGTTGTCTGGGGGACAGTGATTTGTCTACATGTTTTGAATGCTGGCGTACTATAACGAATAAATTATGAATAGTTTAGTTTGTGCCCTCAAGTCGTTGCCCATAGGAAGACGCTACTTGGATATAACCTAATGGAATATCTTCAGAACGGCTCCAAATGACACAAAACTCATATGGGTGAGTAGAACATGATGGAATAACGGAAAATCAAGGAGCCAATGTAAAAAAAAAGAAGTTTTCCTTTAAATCTGAATTTTTTTCAATCAGAAACATCCTACTTTGAAGTATCCCCGAGGCCTTTTTATAAATCCAATCTTAGATTGTTTATATTCAGTTTGTCAGTAAGAATCCAAAGATAAAAAGTAATCTAGCATATTTCTAATAAAAACATTCCATGATGAGAAAATTAAAGTTTGATCCTTACAGATAATGCTAACTTTCTTGCTATTTACCCGAGCTTCCACAAACATTTCCTGTTGATCTTTGGTATGTTTCTATTCATCACCTCCCAGCCTACAAAAAAAAGTGTCCCTGTCAATTTATGTTGAGATCTTACACCAGGACAGCCCTCAAAGTGTAACAAGAGCTCCCTCTCAGCTGCCATCTTTACACATACGTCCCCTCATTTTATTCCTCATAAAGTCCAGCTGCTATTGGTTAAGCCCACACACAATGTTTGGTTCTATAGCCAATTAGATTACCTTAAAAATAAGGGTAAAAATATTTAATTTGAATGGTATATCATCCCGGATATATTGTCGGCCTAAACGGTGCACAGGCAGATTAGATCCTGGACCAGATAAGAAGGCAGTGCTGTTAGATATGTAGAAGGAAAGTTAGAAAAATTTAAAAAAATATTTGCTTCATAAATATTTTGTGGTAATCAAAATGCTCCAGTGTGATTTTTGGAGTAAAACCGCACAATGTGGAATAATTTTGCACATTTGGAGAGGTTTGAGGATGCTGGTGACACCAGAAGTCCCACATCTCTAGTACTGTATTATACCTAGAGGTCTGATATTATCTGCAGTTGTGGTTGATATGATGCAGAATAAATGTAATACAATGAAATATTTTCATTTCAGTTAAAACTAGAAGCTGTTGTCTTTCAAATTATGTATCACACATGTAATTTGGGTTTACAGTTCCTTAGTAATTTGCTTTTCCGATTGGGTATGCAAAAATGTGAGGATTACCTAAAACTCAAGAAGCTTTTTATAAAACTCCAGTCTGCCACATAATTACACAATTGCATCATATACATTTGTAAATCTGCCGAGGCCGCTCACACTGAGCCTGGTTCTGCTGGAGGTTTCTTCCTGTTAAAAGGTGAGTTTTTCCTCTCTAATGTCACTACATGCATGCTTAGTGTTAGGGGTTGCTTTCGAGTCAATGAGTCGATGTAATCAACTAGTTTTTCTTAGATAGAAAACTTTGAATCAATTTCACTGAATGATCTGGTGAACTGTAAAGTGCCTTGAGATGACATGTGTCTTGAATTGCTGCTATAGAAATAAACTGAATTGAATTTAATTAAATGAGGACACATTCATGGCTCCGGCCTTTTCATAATATAACAAATGTCTCAGATAAAAGCACAAAGAACTGTTAAGAAAGATCCACTATGTCAGTGTCCACATTTCATTCCCGAATCTCTGATAATGGACGTGATAACAGTATATCCTGAAAGAAGAAATCTCCTAATTAGATTAACTACTTCAGAAAACATTAATTCTGACATGCAAGAGACAGGTATTATTAGGGTTTAACAGACTCACACACCATCAGTGATAATGATTCAAACATCTTCATGCCACACTTTGTAGACCTGAGGACTGTCGGTTTGTCCAACATGGATCTGATATTAAGCTTCATGATCTCAGTCTGAGGTGTCCTGCATTTATTGTTCTGTTCAGCTGCTGGAGGAAAACATTGTTAGTTTTGTTAAGAACGAACTGAAGAAGATCCAAAAGGTTCTAAGTCCAGATGACCCAGAAGGTCAAAGGGAGGATGAAGAGGTGTTGGAAGGTGAGGATGAAAAGCAGAGGAGGAGCAGCAGAGAGGCTTTGATGAAGATCACCCTGAACTTCCTGAGGAGGATGAAGCAGGAGGAGCTGGCTGAATGTCTGCAGAGCAGTAAGAGGATTTCTATAAAGATTTAACCTGATGGATATATGATTGATTTAATTCAGTCAGAACAGCAGAAAGAACAGATGATCTGTTGAGAGGAATAGTTTTAATGCTATTAATACTCTTTTATCTTTCAGAGCTTTTTGCCTCAGTTTGTCAACATAACCTTAAATCCAGTCTGAAGGAGAGGTTCCAGTCTGTGTTTGAGGGGATCGCTAAAGCAGGAAGTCCAACCCTTCTGAACCAGATCTACACAGAACTCTACATCACAGAGGGAGGGACTGGGGGGGTCAATGATGAACATGAGGTCAGACAGATTGAAACAGCATCCAGGAAACCAACCAGACCAGAAACAACAATCAGACAAGAAGACATCTTTAAAGTCCCCCCTGGAAGAGATCAGCCAATCAGAACAGTGATGACTAAGGGAGTGGCTGGCATTGGGAAAACAGTCTTAACACAGAAGTTCACTCTGGACTGGGCTGAAGGCAAAGCCCACCAGAACAT